TTGGACGGAGCTTCCTTGTCTTGATGTCAGTGGCCTCTGTCTCCTCCTTTGGCCAGCTTATTATGCCAGCGGGGTACCTGATGACTGGACTTTGCTATGTAGATATATATATAGTGCCTTGCGAAAGTATTCGGCCCCCTTGAACTTTGCGACCTTTTGCCACATTTCAGGCTTCAAACATAAAGATATAAAACTGTAATTTTTTGTGAAGAATCAACAACAAGTGGGACACAATCATGAAGTGGAACGAAATTTATTGGATATTTCAAACTTTTTTAACAAATAAAAAACTGAAAAATTGGGCGTGCAAAATTATTCAGCCCCCTTAAGTTAATACTTTGTAGCGCCACCTTTTGCTGCGATTACAGCTGTAAGTCGCTTGGGGTATGTCTCTAACAGTTTTGCACATCAAGAGACTGAAATTTTTGCCCATTCCTCCTTGCAAAACAGCTCAAGCTCAGTGAGGTTGGATGGAGAGCGTTTGTGAACAGCAGTTTTCAGTTCTTTCCACAGATTCTCAATTGGATTCAGGTCTGGACTTTGACATAGCCATTCTAACACCTGGATATGTTTATTTGTGAACCATTCCATTGTAGATTTTGCTTTATGTTTTGGATCATTGGCTTGTTGGAAGACAAATCTCCATCCCAGTCTCAGGTCTTCTGCAGACTCCATCAGGTTTCCTTCCAAAATGGTCCTGTATTTGGCTCCATCCATCTTCCCATCAATTTTAACCATCTTCCCTGTCCCTGCTGAAGAAAAGCAGGCCCAAACCATGATGCTGCCACCACCATGTTTGACAGTGGGGATGGTGTGTTCAGGGTGATGAGCTGTGTTGCTTTTACGCCAAACATAACGTTTTGCATTGTTGCCAAAAAGTTCAATTTTGGTTTCATCTGACCAGAGCACCTTCTTCCACATGTTTGGTGTGTCTCCCAGGTGGCTTGTGGCAAACTTTAAACGACACTTTTTATGGATATCTTTAAGAAATGGCTTTCTTCTTGCCACTCTTCCATAAAGGCCAGATTTGTGCAGTATACGACTGATTGTTGTCCTATGGACAGAGTCTCCCACCTCAGCTGTAGATCTCTGCAGTTCATCCAGAGTGATCATGGGCCTCTTGGCTGCATCTCTGATCAGTCTTCTCCTTGTATGAGCTGAAAGTTTAGAGGGACGGCCAGGTCTTGGTAGATTTGCAGAGAATCTGTGGAAAGAACTGAAAACTGCTGTTCACAAATGCTCTCCATCCAACCTCACTGAGCTCGAGCTGTTTTGCAAGGAGGCATGGGCAAAAATTTCAGTCTCTCGATGTGCAAAACTGATAGAGACATACCCCAAGCGATTTACAGCTGTAATCGCAGCAAAAGGTGGCGCTACAACGTATTAACTTAAGGGGGTTGAATAATTTTGCACGCCCAATTTTTCAGTTTTTTATTTGTTAAAAAAGTTTGAAATATCCAATAAATTTCGTTCCACTTCATGATTGTGTCCCACTTGTTGTTGATTCTTCACAAAAAATTACAGTTTTATATCTTTATGTTTGAAGCCTGAAATGTGGCAAAAGGTTGCAAAGTTCAAGGGGGCCGAATACTTTCGCAAGGCACTGTATATACATATATATGTGTGTGTGTGTGTGTCATGTATAAGAAGGTTATTATTGTCATACACGATCAAGATGAGCATGTCTAACATTTAAATAAAACATAGACCAGGGAGTGGAGGCCCGTCGTTTAAATCTTCTGGATGTTTAGAACAGAGGTGTCATAATGCTGATGATGTGTTGGGAAACACCAGATGTTTGTTGCAAATGTTACATGTGACTAAAGTGGGCTGCAAAGCTCAAAATGCTCCCACACGTGACCTTGTTATTTTTCTTGCACCCTCCATCCAAAATAAACGTTTCCAAATATCAAATATGTCTGTCGCTCTCCTACTCAGAACCCCATAAAATCTGACTGTTTTCACGGACTTTGGCTGTGTTACTGGGACATGTTACATCTGATGATCAACAAGTAACAGGAACCACTGACTGGGGATCAGCCCAAATGCTTATTTTGTTATGTGGGTAGTGTGACTATCAACTGACTCGAGATCAGTTGTATGTTCCATTGGCCCCCAGCGGCGAACTGCCAAAACATGACACATTTCATGAACCAATGTGAAACAACCACGTGACTTGGCCACTTTCACACACGCCCCGAAGCACCACTTCGAAATCGAAGTGGTTCGGATTGTGTCGATACAGTGTTTCGAGTCCACCCATTACTACTTCTCTGGACCTTTCCCACTTGCTCTGTCCAATCCTTAGCTTTTCCTTTGTCCTTCTTACACTTTGGAGTCTTGTCAACACCCCTTCTGGACTTGGTTTTAAGTATAAGATGTTTTACCAGTGTACAAGTCATTGGAAATCCCCTCATCATGTTTCACTCGTACTGGTGAAACTAAGCAGCCGCTGGCCCAACACAACAGGGCCAACCCCTAATGACTCAGTTGTTAGAGGACATTGTTGGCCATTGAAGGACTGAAACCCCACCCAGTGGGATAAAGATCTCCTGCTCACCACCAGTCAGGCAGAACTGATGAAGCCTCTTGGAGAGGTGAAACGTCTTCTACCTAAAACCAAGTCCAGATGATTTCATCTGTTTTTTTCAGCGTACTATGACCTGGATGACTGAGAATTTGCACAGACATGTCACCAGCCCTTGTCCAACAGTGAACAAAGACATTTCCCTGAAATCTGTTTAATCAGATGAACATAGAATTTCTGTGGTCTTATTGTTTCCAAAACACAAACCGGGAGCTTGTTTTCAGCAGCTGTAATTACCACAGTTCATCTCAGTCAGGAGTTCATTTAAACACAGAGGATCCGTTGTGGCTTGATGTTAGTACAGACTGGTCTGTGATCAGTGAAGCGGGGCACACTCGGGTGATGCACACAGGTAATGTTCTTCCTTGGTTCACTTTCTATCCATGCCTACTCTTCCTACTCTTGTTCTGTTCTCTGCTGTTCCTCCTCACGTGATCAATCTCTTACTATGACGAGAGAAATGCATTTCCTGTCGTAAATGCGTGTGGATGCTAATAAGCTGAAAGATCGTCCTGAAAATGCCTGAAATGAATTGCTGAAACAGCTGAAAGATGAGAAGAAATGGCTGAAGTTCTTTGTTGAAATAGTTGAGAAGAAATGGCTGAAGTTCTTTGTTGAAATAGTTGAGAAGAAATGGCTGAAGTTCTTTGTTGAATAATCCAAAGTGTGAGATGCAATAAAGTAGGAATGGCCTTGAAGAGCTGAACATTTTGATACCTGAATGTATCAAAATACATTCGGGGGTGGCTGTGGCTCACGAGGTAGGGCAGTCGTCTCCTGACCAGCAAGTTGGTGGTTCGACTCCCGGTCTCCCCGCATGCCTAAGTGTCCCTGACACTGAACCCCGAATTGCTCCCGGTGGCTTGATTAGCACCGTTTGTGTGGCAGCTGTCATCATCGGTGTGTGAATCATCTCTGTAAAGCGCTTTGGCCAGTGTAACACACTGTGGAAATGCGCTATATAAATACAGTCCATTTACCATTTCTAGCTGAAGGTATGCTGAATTTATTAAGATGTGAAAATAGTCCAATTGGACCCCACAAAGTAGTTAAAACAAGTAGGTGTGAGTGTGTGTGTGTGAGGGGGGAAGACAGAGAGAGAGAGGGAGCGAGAGGAGGTATGTAGTGGCATGTCCCAATTGCGCTGCATTTTATGGACCACCAGATGGCACTCCAAGATTGTGTCATTGAATCAGCACTTTGAGCTCCCATTGACTTGTATTGCAAACAATAAAGCTGAATCAATTAAAAAGTATAAATGTCATAAAAAATTTTAGTACAAGCAGGGATGTCCCTGAAGAGTTGAACAGATAAAGACCTCAATGGCCTGTATAGCTGAAAGTATGCTGGACTTATAAAGTGCCAAAAAAGGGTGGAAGATCCCGGAATAATAACCAGAGAAATGCATTTCCGGTTGTAAATGCGTGTGGATGCTGTGTGCTGAAGGATTGCCCTGAAAATGCTGAACATTTTGACACCTGAAAGGCATATCTACCTGAAAGTATGCTGAAGTAGAATTTTCCCATTCATTTGTATGGGGCAAAATTTTCAGAATAAAGCTAAATATTTTAAAAGTGTGATGTTTTGAAAAATTCTGCATAGAAGCATGAATGTCCTTGAAGAGCTGGACATTTTGATACCTGAAATAGCTGAAAGTATGCTGATGTTGAATTTTCCCATTTATTTGAATGGGGCAAAACTTTCAAAATAGGCTAAATATTTCAAAGGTATGAGATTTAGAAAGATTCTTCAGAAAAGCATGAATGTCCTTGAAGAGCTGAACATTTTGATAGCTGAAAGTATGCTGAAGTAGAATTTCCCCATTCATTTGAATGGGGCAAAATTGTCAGAATAAATGCTGAATATTTTCAAAAGTATGAAAGTTGTCAAAAAACATGAATACATGCCACAATGTCCTGAAAAACCTGAACATTTTGATACCATAATGGCTTTTCTAGCTGAAAGTATACTGAACTTATTAAGATGTGAACATTTTCCTATTGGTCCCCGCAAAGTAGGTAAAAGAAGTAGTGTTGGGTGTGTAGGTGTTTGTGTGTATGTGTGTGTATGAGAAAGAAAAAGTAGTCATACACACTGAGAAATAATAGTGTGGCTATTGAAATGAGACATAAAATGTAAATGATGATTATGCAAAATCCATAAAAAAATATCAAAAAGCTGTTTATGGTATGAATAGCTGAAGAGTTGCTGAATAGTTAGTTGAAATGGTGGTTTTAGCTGAAGGTATGCTGAAGATATTAAGATGTGAAAAATTTGAATGAGGGCAAAATCTGCTGAAAAAAGCTAAATATGTTAAAAAGTATAAATGTTACAAACAATAAAAATACAAGCAGGAATATCCTTAAAGAGGCTTATTAGCTGAAAGTATGCTGAAGAAATTAAGTGCCGAAAAACGGACTGAAGAAATCAGAATAATAGTAAAGAACAGGATAACATAGTGTGGATGCTTTACAGCATCCTGTTCTTTATTGTGTGGATACTGTAAGACAGCATCCACACTATCAGAATAAACTGTGTGCAGTCTCGGGTAAAACAGTGGATCAGTTCTTGTTCAAGTAAACATCCAGCAGAGGTCAGCGTGTTCTCACCTGAGCTGACATCTGTCTCTACCCTCAGGTCGACACCGATGTAACATTTTCTTCTCTGAGTGAGGACACTTTTGACCGAGAGATCACCAGAGACCTGGTCCTGGAGGACGTGCTTCGCTTCATGTTGACATCACACGCTCACTTGTCCACAAGGACAGGGGGGAGGCAGGTGGGAGTCCACAACAATAAACCAAATGTTACACTTCACTTAATTTTTTTTTTATTTTTTTTATTGCTGATGCCATAATGTAAACAGTCAGTCAAACCTTGGTGATTCACAGTGATTTACAGACTAAAACAGAACCAACTATTTAAGATGTTTGCACAAGAAATGTAAAGATGAAGTGTAATAAATAATAAAAGCCACCAAAATAGAAAACAAGATAAAACAGGTACTGAGCTCTTGTTGTGCCTTCAGATATTGTTAATGTAAGGTTACTGCAGCTGTCAGATAAATGTAATGCAGAAAAAGGACAATATTTCTTTTGGGAATATGTTAAATTAAACTTGTAAAGTTAAGCACAATATCACAAATTTGTACCTTAGCTAATTTCACCCACTTTTCCCTCTTTTGTTTCAGTAAAATCTGATTTCACAGCAGGATACAGACTTTCTGAGCACAGGGTCTGTGTCCTCTGGGTTTTTCAGATAAACAACTTTTAAGTATTAAAGTCCAACAAGGTTCTTTGTTTCTGGAGAAGCTGAGGGTTTTAGAATTGTCGTTTTAATTTATTAGACAAATTGATTCTTTAAGAAATATTTTATTCCATCAAATATTTATGTACATCTTATTGTCACTGGTCAAATGCGTGAATGTTTCTTTAAAGTTTCTAAAACCAAGAATTATTTTTTTCTTGCAGAAAGTTTCTTTCAGATGAAGCTCACTTCTGTCAGATGGCATGTCAATAACCAGCCTATTCAGTATGTTACCTGTGGAAATGATTAAACTGTGTGTCTGTGCTGTCAGTACGGTGGCTGTAGAGGGATACATGCTGTCTGTGTGTCAGACGAGGAGTTTCTTCTTCTGCTTCAGTTTCAGCACCAGATGAACATGCCTTCAGCTTTTCAATTGGTAAACAAACGTATACTGCAGTATACCACACTAGTCATACCTGTTGGTATTGCACATAGTTTCAGGCTCACTTTTTACCACTGTTTCAGAGCTAAGTGTGCCCTGCAGCCGTCTGTAAAATGAAGCCTTAGTTTGGCACAAAAAGTTTTAATTAATGCATCACACAGTCCCGGTGTTCAGCCCCACTTCACAGACGTGATTTGAACTGGAACTTGAGAGCCAATCTTTCCTGATGTGATGTTTGTTTTTGCTGTTGTTCCATGCAGTTGTATCCCAGCACCTCCTCCTCCGGTCCTCCAAGCGTCTCTGACTTCCTGGTCCAGATCAGTCGTTTCTACGATCTCCAGAGAAACGGCAGTGACAGGTGAGGAGTGAGTCCAGCCTGACCAGCGTTTGAGCCAGTGGTACAGCCGCTGTTGATGTTAAAAACTCACTGCTGTGTTTGTCATGTTGGGCACAGAGCTGATGAGACAGCATCTTCCTCACAGCACGGAGCTGAAGTCAGAAGTGAGACACAGAGTTCATCTCTTTGATAAAGCTGTCAGATTATTAACATCTTGAACATCTCTCATAATGCTGCGGGCCTATAAACAGGAAGTACAATTGTTTCTCCCTGTGTTTCAGGTTCCTGTGTGGACCCACACCTCAGACAGATCTACACCAGCCCGCCTCTCTCCCTGACTCCCCCCTTCCGTCCATGGGTGAAGGAGTACCGTGCTGAGATGACCTTTGAGACAGTGATGATTCGAATCCGGCCAGAGCCCATCAACTCAGCCTGCAGGGTCCACCTGGATGAGCACCGAGGTCCAAGGTAAGACTGGACCCCAGACCCTTGACCCCACAGCCCAGATTACTGATGGTTTTTTTCTGCAGGATGGCAAACTACCCAGTCAGCCTTGGCAACAGCAGGATTAGCATCCTAGTGACGGATGACACCGAACCGGAGCCTGTCCTCCTGACAATCTACACCATCCACGTGTCCCGAGAGAGCCGGCCCAGTCTGCCCATGTTTGGATATCATGTGACCTGCAGTTTTGTGCAGGTACTTCAGCTGCTTTCCTCTTGGCTGTGGGACTGTGGGGAGGATGATGTCACAGCCAGATGGTTTCTCATAATTACATGAAAATGGGGGATTTATAACTAGCATGCTTTGTTTTTGGTGGAGGCAGGACCAAAATAGGTTAATTTATCAGTTATTTTCTGTTCTCATTGGTTTCAGGAGCACGTTAAAGAAACGCAGAGCGGACCAATATTAATATACATAAGATACTGGAAGGCAAAGGCTGGAACAAAGGAGCAACAACTTCCAGCACTGACTTTTATTTCCAACATTGTTGCAGTGAAGTTGTATCTGATGACTTCTCTTCTCATGTGGTTTCAGTAAACAAGGGCAGCTGGCTTGTTCCTCAGTTCCTTTAAATTCAGCCTGTCATCCACATTAACAAGAGCAGCACTGCTAGGAAACATGGGTCTGCATTTAGAAACAGTGTGGCTTCAGAGCACTAACACAGACTCTAGATGTTTACACATAGGGCACTGACCAGAGGATGATTTCTAAAGCCTTGATCTGAGCCACTGTGAGGACAAAATAAAGGCAAGGAAGGAAAGTGCTGGAGCAAGAGGAAACAGCCAGCAGCACGGTCGCAGCATGTCTGTGTTTGTCTCTAGATGACATTTCTTTTGGCTCCACACAGCAACAGACCTCCATCAGACATGTTGGTCTGCAGTACAAGTAGCTCCATCTGATTTCCCTCGTGGCTTCTGTGAAAGCTCCTTTGTAAACTGTAGCGAGCCTGTTATATTACTGCAGTAGCATATTACATGTTGTAGTAAAACTACAGTGTCCAACTGAGACACAGGGTGGCCTGGTGGTGTAGTGGTTAGCACTGTGGCCTCCCAGCAAGAAGGCTCTGGGTTTGAACCTGCAACTGACTGCAGCCTTTCTTGGTGGTGTCTGTGTCTGGTGCTCTGGCTTCCTCCCACAGACATGAATGACTCTGACCTCATAGGTGTGCCTAATGGGCTGGCAGCTGGCTGGGATTACATGTGTACCTGTTGAACTGACAATAGTGCATTTACACTGATGTTGCTAACCATCTGCATGTGCTCCTTGTAAAACATCCTTAAATCTGTCGAGCTGTCTGTTGATCACTGCTGTTCAGCTCCCACTGCAACAGGAACAGAGCAGACAGTGTGGCCAACTCTTCATGATGCAAACAACGTTTGAGCACACAAACATCCTTGGCATGGGTGTGAAAGAAAGTGTGTGTTTGCTGGGTTTGTACAAACTGCAATGAACAGCTGTGGGAGTGAGATTTTCATCTGCTTTGTATCACAGTGAAGCTGTGTCTCAGTTGGTCTGCATTCCTGTGGGTCTGCAGAGAAGAACCACTGTTGCTTCTCTTGCCGCTCACTGTTTCCTTACAACACATTTGCACTGGAAACTACCACTAGCAATTACTGCTTAAGTCTGAGAGGCTCTGCAGTGAAGACGGTGCTGGCTATGTGTGGTCTGAAATGTATAGGAGGTCATCCACATATAGTGCGATTTTCATTAGACCTCGTTATCTCTCGGGGTCTATCTGTTGTTATTAAGGATGTGTCAAATATAGCTATATCTGATCACTTCCTTATTTGTATTTGCTACCGATTAGGCTGCCCAGACCAGTGGCCCCTCGGCTGCATCACAGGATTATTACTTCCTCTACCCCCTCTGACTTAGCTACTGTGTTCTTAGGTTCTGAATTCTATTTCTCTGTGGTTCAGAATCCTCCGTCCTGCCCTGAGGTATTTCTCTCCTCACTGAATTCGACTTCGGCCCGGATTATGGACTTCGTTGTGCCTTTCAGGACTAGAAGAGCTGGCAACGTATCTTCTCCTTAACTAAATGACACTACCTGGTCCTTGTGGAGGACCTGTAGGCAAGCCGAACGCAAGTGGAAGAAAGACGGATTGCACGTCTCATTGGATATTCTAAGAACTAGCCTCCTTGCCTACCAGGAGGCTGTGAAAGTCTCAAACTCAGTTCCTGTCCAACGCTATAGCAACAAACAGTCGTAACCCGAGAGCCCTTTTTAGAACTATACTGTACACTCTGTTATTAACCCAGTCGGTGCGTTGCCCTTGGAGGGTTCCACTGCTCTGTGTAAACAATTTTTAAGATATTTTAGTGATAAGGTTGGGGATCTCAGGCACAATATGCCTAAGCTCTTAGCGTATTCACAGCCTGTTTCCCCTGTAGTTCATACTCTTAATTCCTTCACTCCGATTTCCATATTTCAATTAAAAGAGACCTTAGCTTACTTAAAACTGACCTCTTTACCCCTTGACCTCCTTCCTGCCAGGTTCATCAAGGAGGGTTTTGATGTTCTGGGTCCCATTCTGGTCATGTTCATTAATATCTCCTTGGATACAGGTGTGGTCCCGACTGCTCTAAAGCATGCGATAGTCCGCCCACTCCTTAAAAAAACCTAATCTTGATTCCTCTTTATTGTCGTCTTTTCGTCCAATTTCCCTTCTTCCTTTTTTGTCCAAAATTCTGGAAAAAATTGTAGTTACCCAGCTGCAGGCTCATTTAGATTGTTTAAATATTGCCAATAAATTTCAATCTGGCTTTAAGCCCCACCATAGTACAGAATCCACGTTACTTATGATTCATAATGATATCGCTATGGTTCTCGATACCAAATGTCCTGTTTTGTTAGTTCTTTTGGATTTATCTACAGCCTTCAATACTGTTGATCACGCTATTCTTTTGTTGAGACTTGAACACCTCATTGGGCTTAAAGGCACTGTGTTAAACTGGTTTTCTTCCTTGACCAACAGAACCTTCTTTGTTAGTGTTGGCGACTGCGTCTCTAATATAGCTCCCCTCACCTCAGGTGTTCCGCAAGTTCAGCCCTGGCTCCATTACTCTTTTCTCTATATATTTCACCTCTTGTGGCTATTATATTTAGCCATAATGTTCATTTCCACTTTTACATGGATGATGTTCAGATTTATATGCCACTGCTCCTATCTGACTCCAATGCTCTTACCCCGTTGCATAATTGCATTCGGGATATTAGGCAATGGCTTGCGCAAAATTTTCTGCAGTTAAATGAGAGTAAGACCGAATACATCCTTTAGTCCTGATCCATTGCCTGATGTTGTTAACCTCTGCACTTCAGTCTTCGCTCTGTCTGGCATGGTGAAAAATCTTGGTGTAATTCTTGATAGTGGTTTGACTTTTGAAAAACATATTAGGGCAGTGGTTAAGTCATGTTTATTTCATCTAAGACTCTTATCTAACGTTGAACCTTTTTTTGTCACATGGGGATCTGGAGAAGGCTATTCATGTGTTTATTATCTCAGGGTTAGATTATTGCAATGCTCTGTATGTTGGAGTTCCCCAGACTTTGCTTCAAAAACTACAACTAGTCCAAAATGCAGCAGCTCGGTTGCTATCTTAACACCCCCAAGTTTGCTCATATCTCCCTTACTCTCCATGCTCTTCACTGGCTTCCAGTCCAATTCAGAATTAAATTTAAGATTTTATTGTTTTTAAGGCTATTCATGGCCCCGCACCTTCTTACTTATCTGACCTGTTGGCAATTTATGTGCTGCAGAGAGCTCTCCGCTCCGCTGATCATTTGTTGCTGGTGGTCCCACAATCCCACTATAAGAAATGGGGCGAACGTTCCTTTTCTATTTGTGGCCCTGGACTGTGGAATTCTCTGCCAGTAGAACCACGGGCGGAAAGTGAACTAGTGGCCTTTAAGTCTGCCTTAAAGACCCACTTTTTTAAGCAGACTTTCAAGGCCTAGCTTGTTTTATTGTTTTTGTTTTAGCTTTGGTCTACCAACAGTATTTCCTTATCTGTTTTATAGTCATTGTTTTGTTTCGTGTGTTTTTATTGTACAGCACTCTGGTGCTCTTGTGAGTTGGAGAGCGCTATATAAATAAAGTTTTATTATTATAACTCTGTGTTCATGTTCTTCTTCTCTTGGAGTCTCGGCCCTGTCCTACTCCTTCTTTTCATCTCTGTCCTCCCTCATCTGTCCTCTTTTATCCACTTGGACAGCTCCATTAGACTGTGACACATGAAGAAAATAGGTGTTCACTCATCCTGCTGGGGGGTCAGCAGGGGCCCTGTCCAGGCCCCTGGGGAACAGAGCACCCATTGATGTGTTGTGTGGTCTATTCTTTCATGTTCAGACAAAGTGAACCCTGCTGTTGAGGACAGGTACACAACAGGTGCTCACTGTCCAGATTCCCTCTGGAGCTGAGGTGATGCACCGCCAGGGCATGATGCAGTTTATCCTGTGATCAGTGGCCTCAACAGCAACAACTAAAACTTCAGCTTCCAGGTGGCACCTCTGCATCACTATTATGACAACATCAGATTTTTCAATATGTTGTATTTAATTTTCTGCCTCCCCTCAAACACACTCTGAATATTGGATCATTTATCAGTTGCTTATCAGTCTCCCTGTATCTGGGCCAGTGCAGGCTTCTGTGAAGGACATTCATCGTCATTATTACAGTTATAACTAGCTGGGTCTGTTTAGTCAACAGCCGTTTACTGTGACATCTCAGTTTCTAGTAAAGTGATGAGGTAAATGTGAGCCACTCTGATGTCATCTGTGTCATGTGAACAGGTTAAACCAACCCCCCATCCATTTGTGCTGGCTATCATCTATGTCTGCTTGTTAAAGTGTTGCTGTTGCAGCACGCTGGTAAAATAAAGGTTCACAGACTATGAACTTTGAGTGGCTTCCATAGACGCGGCAACACTTAATGAGACTTTACTGGTTATTCAACGGGAACCACAAACACTGACTGAGGCTCATTGGTTTAAAAAATAGAGCCAGAAGATGGTTAATCAAGCACTATTCAAGAACTGATGTACATGTTACACAATCAGTGAGCAGTGATGTCTTGATGTAAATGTATAAAGCCAGCAGTTGCCCGGCCCCCTTCGCACAGATATTGAGCCCCACTGCTGCAACATCCACATGGTCCCCATCTTGGGTTTGTTGGATTTCATGGTGGTTCGATTGTTAAAATAGATAAAGTGATCTTTAGTCTGTATTAAATGAGGAAGCCCTGTTCATATGGACTGTCTGAGAACTGTGGCAGATCAGGTCTCGGATCAGACCAGGAATCCACCTTCAGTCACAGACATTAAAGTCACATGTTTGTGATCGGCAGCCAGAAGAAATACATTCAGACTGACTCAGAGCAATTCAGAGATTTGCTTTTCTGTTTGTACACAGGCTGAAAGCGTTGTCCACCTGCTGCTGGATAAATCCCATTTATCCTGGTGAAGCTTTAATGAAGATGTGAGCCCAGTCAGGATTAATTGACTCATTACTTGCATTGTTGTTCAGCAGAGAAACCCTCAGAGCTGTGAGAATTTACAGGACAGAGGCACGTTTCTGCTGCTTGTCCTTCCTGGGTCAAACACAACAAAATGTTGTGTCTCTGACCTTTGGCCTCCTCTCTTCACTGCGGTCAGATTAAAAAGCTGCAAGTGTTTAGTTAGTCCTCTTTCTGACAGATGACATGGAGATTATCTCTGGAGTCACCAGCTCATTTCCTTTTTTACCTCATTAACGTCTTGATCAGACTGCACCGAGTCAGACTGGTGTGTTTGATTGTACATGATGGAAACTGACCTTTCACAGACACCAGACATCACAGGGATTTTTGTAACGTGTCAAGAAAATAACAGGAAAAGATGACTGAAAGCTGTCTCCATCCCCAGTAAATGAACTCCAACACAAATTGTTGTGTTGTACTGTTGCGTGTCATAGAAACACATTTCTGGCGTTTTCTGGATAGTGGTGATTTGTAATCACATCAGTTGGGAACAACAGTAAAGATTGGACGTGGCATTCCTAGCTCTCAGACACTGTCTGTTGCAGGATGAAAGGTGGCAGCTTTGTGTCGTCTACGTTTTTCACTCAGCTTTGGTGTGTTTTCATCGCTGATCTCATATCAACGTCCTGTCCATTTGAATGTTTACACTGAGCTCAGGTACGAACAAGAAAATCCCTGTTAAGTTTTCTTATTGCACTTTGTTGTGAGCTGCAGTGCTGCAGTGCAGAATGTGACACCGCCTTGGCAAAACCTGCAGAAGAAGAAGAATGTGTGTGTTGGTAGGATGTGTGTGTTACGGCGGGGCCATCTCTGAAGTCAGGGCCAGACGTGGCGGCTCCCACAGGGCCTCTGAGCCAAGCTGCTCAGGTTTATTTGACCTCTGACCAGGAGACGAGGTCTGTGACACAAAAGAGAAGAAGAGGCTTTGATTTAAAAGAGGCAACAGAAGAAGAGAGAGAGGAGGTCAGAGAGGAAAAATGTTAAATACTGAGCAGAGGACGTTTGACAGTAACTGCTGTTTAGCAGTCTGAAATAAAAGCAGAAGAGCCGAGTGCTAGGCTTGGCATCGTCAATATTATGTCTCCTGAGAAATAAATCCCACTTGTATTTGGAGTGAAGTGAACCTAAACCCAGCTTTGGACAAATATGGAGCAACAGCAGAGAACGATCTGAGAGAGAAATGAGAGTTATGCAGCCCGAAAGGTTTCTTGTGAGTCACCGTTTACACACACAAAGTAAAGAACATTTGGAGAGTCAAACACATTCTGCTCAGATCTCTGTGTTATGGTAGGTAGGTAGGTAGGACTTTACTGATCCTGCAATGGGGAAATTCCTGTGTTCCAGCAGCAACAGAGAGCAGCAACAAAACACCATAAGAACAAACACCACACACATATCTTGAGAAACAGATTCCAAAGTACCTAAAACCAAACAGAATATAGTACGATCATAGCCGTGTAATATTATCTCCCATGTATAGGATAAAATCTGTCTGTGTGAATGTCTGAATATAAAATGTTTTTGTTGTAATATTTTGAGCATGTTTGCCTTCTGCACTGAGGACCTGACAGATTAGTTCACAGAAACAGTCTGCCACCGTTCACTCTGCAAGTCCATGCTGGGCTGTAAAGGCCGTCCTGTGTGTTGTGCTTTCAGGACTGTGGTCTGCTGGTTCAGCCTGGTCAACCCTGTGGTCTTCAGCCCTTCAGCCGGTCTCAGGGTCCACTTCAGATTTGTGGCTCAGGACACGTGCCAGGTCTGATGTCACTTCCTGTCACCTGTGCAGCTACTGTAACAGTAGAGGACAGATGTTACAGAATCTGAAACAAACACTTCCAGTTCTGTGTAAGAAGCTAGAACACGTGGTGAGCTCACAGCTGTCTGCAGAGGTTTAACTTCTGACGGCAGCTGAGACGACGTCTTTACAGAGAAACGTGTTCATCAGCTTTATTATCTTCCATGAATAGTTCCAGCAGGTACAACAGGTGTGTGTACTGTAACTCCTCTCACACCTGTGTTCACCCTTTCAACCCCAAAGACTCTTGGTGTACTTGTTATTTTATATCACTCTAATTCACCTGCAGTGATTAACAGACCACCTGTCTATCTCTGTTTCACGTCTCTGTAAGGTCGATGGGTGGTTCCTTGTCTCAGCTGTTCTGACAACAGGACCTGTGATTGGAGGGAGGTTGCCTGGCAACCAGATGACTGTTACCACCAGTTAGTGGACCGCCCCCTGCTGCAGGACTGTATGACGGACAGGAAGGTGAGGTGGTCAGTTCTTTCTTCTTTCATTGTTGTTCTGCTCTTCCTTCTGTCTTCATTCTTCTTCTTTCCTTTTATTCTCTCCAGTCTTTCTTTCATTTTACCTTCTTTCTTTTCCTGGATATCTCCCTTTTTCCCTTCTTTACCTCTTTTCTATCTTCTTTCCCTTTTTTCTTCTTCTTTTTCCCCTTTCCTTCCTTCTTCTTTCCTTTCTGTTCTTTTGTCCTTCCTTCCCTCTGTTCTTTATTTTGACTCAACTGTTGAAAACCCGCCCCTCCTCAGGTGTTGTTTATCGGCGACTCAACCAATCGTGGAATGATGTACTTTCTCATGGAGCGGGTGAACTCCAGTCTGGAAGACTGGGGCAAAGCTCACGACACACTGGTCTACAAAAACCTGAACAGGGGCCGGACTCTGGTCGCCTACTCATACTATCCTCAGTTCTGGTTGGAAAAGGATCAGCGGCCGACATTCAGACAGGCACTTCTGCAGCTGCTACACAGGTGAGAGGAAATACCTCAGCAGTTTTTTACCTGCAGACCCACAAACTGACCTGAACTTGTGAATTCATAATTCATCTTAATAGCTAAACAGCTGGTCCATGATTTGCAACAAATTAGTGAATTATTTTTTTAAGATGTAAAATTAAAACTGAATGACTTGTAAATCTCACATAATGTTTGTGACTGTTTATTATATGAGATCCCATTTATTAACCAGTTATCCCAATTTATATTTGGAAATAGAGTTGTGTAATTGCATTTGAACTTTTGGAACCCGTCACAAGTCTCGCTTCACTATGTACATTTGGAAAATCTAAATAGAACATTAGAAGCTTCACTTTAAAGGCACAGTCAGATGTAAATAAAACTGTCTCATGCACTGCTGAAATAAAAACTTTTCCTGACAGTAATTTTCCTCATGCTTGTAAAAATCCAGCCGTCATGGTGGAGACAGAGGAAAGGTTGTGAGATCATTTACTCTGTAGTCAGTGGCCTGATGGTGGCGCTACAGCGAATGTCAGAGGGTTAAAAGATTCAAATAAGGAATTACCCTGAAGGGAGCATGAATATTACCAGCAACTCAACAGGTTGAGACAGTGTTTAAGGAGAATGGAAATGTCTCAACACATTTTATTTCTACTAGTCTTTCTGTGTGTACTGATGACAAGTTTCCTCCCTAAAGGTCACAACCCCTGGAGAACTCTAACCTGACAGTGTTAGTGGTGGGAGGAGTCCAGTGGCTCAACACCAACCACCTGAAGACAGTCAGAGAGGTGCTGGATAGGTGAGCACAGAAACGTATACTGTATGTCATAAAAATAAAACATTTAGCTGTGTTTAGCTTTGGCCTCACTGGACAAAGTCTGGTAACACTGCTACTTGAGATCAGATTTGTTGTTTGGTTATTTTAGTTCAATTCAGGATGAATAGGCTGCAGTCTGATTTCCAGCATGACAGAGGATTTTGGCTTTTGGTACAATTACTGTATTAGTTTATTCCTCCAGCTCGATGCTTCCAGATGCCAGAGGTCATAAATATTTGGATCTCATCCATTGACAGCCACTTCATGATTTGTCAGCAGTTTGCCTGTATGTATTTAATAAATACAATCTGTTGTAAAAACAAGATTTAGGGTTTGATATTTAGGTTATGAATTTGTGTTGAATCACGGCATCAGGAGCTTTGTGTTTCATCTAGTTTTTATTGTTGCAGCACAGGGACAGTGCATGTTTTTGTCTCCCTCATTGTGCAGCCACTTTAGTTTCCTTTTGTAGCCTGGCTCTGTCTTGGATTTGGGTCGAATCAGCAAAGTTATTGTTTAATTATTAATGCAGCACATGCAGTCTTTATAACAATCAGCTCTACTGTTTTTCTGTGTATAAACAACAGTGTCATTGGTATACAGGTTCACAGAAACTAAACGGAGGATGTAACACGGACCCTTTTTTTTATGGAGAAGACAGTGTTTTACTTACTATAACATAAACCTTATTAGACACATTTCAAGACATTCCTATATTTTACTGCCCAGAGCTGGAGTTTCCTGGCAGTTTTATCTGTCAGGCTCTGGAGAACTCATTTTAGTTGCACATTCACTCCCACCAATGTTTTTGGTAAACAATTTATTTTAGGTGGGCAGCACGGTGGCACAGTGGTTAGCGCCTCACAGCGAGAAGGTTCCAGGTTCGGGCCCCACCTGGGACCTTTCTGTGCGGGGTTTGCATGTTCTCCCCGTGCTTGCGTGGGTTCTCTCCGGGTACTCCGGCTTCCTCCCACAGTCCAAAGACATGCAGCTTAGGTTGATTGGTGTCTCTAAATTGCCCATAGGAGTGCATGTGCGTGTGTGTGGTTGTTTGTCTATGTGTTAGCCCTGTGATGGATTGGCGACCTGTCCAGGGTGTACCCTGCCTTCGCCCGATTGCCGGCCGGGATTGGCTCCGCCGCCCCCCCGCTCAGGGACCAAACGGTAGAAAATGAATGAATGAATTTATTTTAGAAGTGCAACAGGTGGATCTGGATGGTTACTTCTGAAAAACCTCAAATCAGCCTACTGTAATCCTCTGGCACCAGGCACAGGTATCAAAGTCCAGATTGTGGTTAGCATGACATGTGGTCACGTTTTCCTCCTTCCTCCTCCTCCTCCTCAGGGAATCTCTCAGTAACATCCTGGTGGTGGTGAAATCTTTGGGGATGGGTTTCCATCTTCCTGTAGATGGGATCAAGTCTCTCAGTCTGGTAGGTTCTTGGTTCTGCATCTGTCCTGGTGGAGTTAGAACACTGATCCATATTGACGGTTCTTCCATACTTCCTTTAACGTGACTCGGTGGGGAGAAAACTCTCTCTTTTTACTTGCATCTGTTGACTCTTGATTTTTCAGAGAGAGGTACAGGATCTGTACAGAAAGAACAATAACATAATTACCACAGCAAAGCATCATGGATATGAGGTGATTGACACATTCAACATCACGATGGGTCGATATAAAGAGTTCCTGCAGGGACGATGTGCCTGCCACTTTCACGAGGTAACACGACTTTACCTATGAGTTCATATTAAGTTCAGCGATCCCTTGGATGATTCTTAAAGAAACATATAAGGAATCAGACCTGACATGAAGATCATAATTGATCTTAATATGTTTCCATAAGATCAAGCTGTCATCAGAGTTTCCAGTGCCCAGGACAGGTTCCACTTTACACTGAAGAATTTCTAGGGCATCCAAAGACACGCAGCTTAGGTTGACTGGTGGCTCTAAACTGCCCGTGTGTGGTTGTTTGTCTAAATGTCAGCCCTGTGACAGACTGGCGACCTGTTCAGGGTGGACACCGCCTCTCGCCCAGTGTCAGCTGGGATTGGCTCCAGCCCCCGCCGCCCCACAACCCTCTTCAGGATAAAATGGATGATTAAAATCACTAATTGGTATCTACCAATCAATGAAAATTTTCCTGGACCATAAAAGCACAGGGAGTACAACTGCTCTGTCAGAGAGGTTTCAGAGGTATTCAGAGGATCCAGCCGGAACATACTGAAGTTAAAACACCACAAAGCTGAAGTCTGGGAAAATGATCATGATATGATCAAATGTTTTCTGTCTCGGAATCAACCAGTCAATCAAACTAAAAACATCCACTGAGAATCACCTGGACCAGATCAGAATGGTCGTGGACCAGTCAGAGCTGGAGATCTTATTTATAGATGGGACTCATAAAACTCATAATTATCATTACATTTTAAACCAAGTGTAGACATAAACACAAATTCTGTTTGTTCACAGGTGGAGAAATATTGGTCCTCCAGGTCTCCAGACAACAAACCATTCACCACCAACAGAACCAGATCTACCAGACCTGGACTAGGACTCAGCAGCCACTCAGCTGTGCAGGACACAGACCAGGAGACAAGGTCTAGTCCCCCAGCCTATCACGTGAGAGGACCAGTGAACCAGGTGTACTCAGAGATCCTGCTGAGCCGCCTGTGTCACAGAACCAGAAACTAAACACCTGAGTGTGTGAGGCAGTGACAGGTTAGTCCCATAGGAAGACTCATCTGCTCTTTCACCTGCTGCAGGCCTTCAGTGGGGTGAGGGTGGACACAGGTAGAACAGAAGGACACACACGGGTGTGATTAATCTTAATTTTCCTCTGGATCATAAAATAATGTTTTTGTGATTTACAGTATAAAACAAGTGACCGGCAACAACAACAACAACAAAATCAGGTTTCTGGTATTTAAGGTCCAGGAGAAAAGAACAGTCATGGCCAAAAGTGTTGGCACTGCTGCATTTCTGTCAGATAATGCACCACTTCCAGAAAACTGTTGCAGTCAAAAATGTTTTGGTATTCTCAGGTTTATTTCTCCTGTTTGCATTGGAACAACACAAAAGCAAAGAACAAAAAGTCAAATCTGGTCCAGTCCACACAGAACTCCAAAATGGACTGAACAGAATTATTGACACCCTCAACTTAATATCTGGTTGCACCACCTTTGGACAAAATAACTGAACTCAGTCACTTCCTGTAACCATCAGTGAGTTTCTTCCATCTCTCTACTAGAGTTTTGGACCACTCTCCTTCTGCCAGCTGCTCTAGGTCTCAGATTTGAAGACTTCCTTCTCCCAGCTGCTGTTCCGAGATCTCTCCATAAGTGATCTATGGGATTTAGATCTGAACTCATTGCTAGCCACGTCAGAACTGTCCAGCTCATTGTCTGGAACCATTTCTGGTGCTTTGTGAAGTCTGCTTTGGGTCACTGTCCTGCTGTAATACCCATGACCTCTGACAGAGATCCAACTTTCTGTCACTGGGCCCCAGAATTCGTTGGTAGTCTTCAGATTTCATAATGCCACACACACAGTCAAGGCATCCAGTGGCTGAAGCAGCTATGCAACCCCAAAACATCAGTGACAGATTACCTCAAACACCGTGTTTGACTGTAGGGACGAGTTCTTTTCATTTTCTGAAAACAGCAGAATGATGTGCTCGAACAAACAGCTCTATCTTGGTTTCATCTGTCCACAGGATGTTCTCCCAGAAGGACTATGGCTTCCTCAGGTCAGTGTTGCCAAATTCCAGTCTGGCTGTTTTATGTCTCTGTTTCAGCAGTGGGTCCCCTAGGTCTCCTACCAAAGCGTCCCTCGTCATTCAGATGGCAACGGATAGTGCGAGCTGACACTGATGCACCCTGTGCCTGCAGGTTAGGGTTAGCTTGGATTTGTCTGGAAGTTGGTCGAGGTTCTTTATGGACTGGATCACATTTGGCTTTTGTTTTCTGCTTTTTGTGTTGTTCCAATGCAAACAGGAGAAATAAACCTGAGAATACCAAAGAATTTGAGATTGCAACAATTTTCTGGGAGAAGTGGTGGTTATCTGACAGAAATGCAGGGATGCCATTATTTTTGGCCATTATTGTTATCTTAACCAATTTCTGTGTGCAAAACAACAAGAGACAAACTATCATCACCCTAATTTACAAACAAAAATACCAAAAATATTTTATCATGTGCAGTTTGTGAAGAAACAGAAGCAGAATTTGTTGAATGCTGAATCATTTTCCATGTGCACATGACTTTTCACTCGCTGTTTAAAGTGCTTTTAGATGTTGTGCTACTGTTTATCTACTTTGTATTTCACTTGTGTTGTTTGGCGTTCAGTGTGGATGGCAAAGTAAGAATTTCTTTGTGCAGGGAAATGCGTTTCCATACTGTGCTTATGACAAACACTGAGTTTTCTTCCCATGCACCAGCTACTCTGTTCTAACGAGTCCCTTATGCAGACTGACTGGTCTTAGTGCACAGTAGCTACTCTCATGTTCACAGGTGTTCTCTATTCTGTCATATCCAAAGTTACCGTCTAATATTGAGATGCCCTCTCTCTGACTCAGACCCCAACCTCTTTGTGTCTTGTTGTTGTTTACGTACCTCGGTCACTGATTTTATTGTGTATATCAGACAATATCCAGCACCAAAGACTTAAAGATAACTCTGTTTATCATGTGAAACAAATGTCTTATATTTGACTCTGTTTATCTTTCTCTATTTTTCTACAGATGTTTATTGTGCCTTTATCTCTGAACATGTTTACATTCTGGAAAATGGAATATATGAATGTTATAATTCTGTTTCCTGTTCAAAGTATGAAAACATTTACTAAAAAGCAGACTCAAACACAATCGTCAGTAACAACAATAACTGTGAAGACATGAGATGTTTTTGTCACACTCTCCATTGCACCTCTGTCCCGTTTGCTCCGTGAACGTCTAACGTTCATCTTACTTTAGAATATTTTTGACTCGAAACCTGTTTAAAGAGTGTATACTGTGCCTGTACATGTTAGTAAACCCTCACTAAGGTTAAGTTAACTTGCTTGTCTTATTTTTGTCTTTGAACTCACTCACCTAAGTCCAAAACATTTTTACTTGAACAGTGGATGAAAAATGACAGTAAATCACTTATTTGCTGCTCAAATCGATAAAGATGCTGTAAAGATTTTCCTTTGCATTTTTCCTCATTGATACACACACAACTCCTTTCAAAAGGCAAAGCAGTTGAGTGCTGCTTTGTATTCTTTTCTTCTAGAATATATTTTTAACTCACCAGGGATCAGATGTTAAATAGACACATATACCATCCAACAGTTGGTGCTGAATTCACCAGGAGCTCCTGTCAGTTGTTCAAATGTTTTAACTTTGGTTAGAGCACTTTCTTTCATGACTGTGCCAAATGGACCGCGTTTGGATGGAGACCCGAGCAGCGCTGTGTAACATGAGATTGGCGCATAGATAATCGACCAATCCAGCTGTTTGTCTCGCTGGTCCTTCCGTCCAATCGGAGCCCAGCTCTGACGTCAGCTGCTGAATATGAATCCAGATCCGGCCCAGTGAGGGTCCTCCAGGGCTCAGACTGGTCCGGTCGGTCCTGCTGCTTCTCCTGTCGAATAAAAACGCGTGTGGACGCTGAACAAACTTGTCCGGGCGGGATCTGTAGCACCTCACTACCGACCCCGGCGGGCGATGCCTCACGGGGGATCATATCCACCGACACCGAGATTAATGAATCTGCCCTGGAACGGGTTTTAGTGTGCTGATGGACAGAGTGAGCGCGCAGCCGTGCGGCTCAGATAGATGAAGAGGTCATGGAGAGACGGAGCTGTGGAGTCCGACACGTGTGCACTGTGACTCTGCTGCTGATCTCTGTGTGTCCGCTCTGCTGTAGAGCCAGCTGGATGTGAGTATGCGCCGCAAGATCACGGCTCCGAGCTGGAGCGCGCTGTTTTACATCAGTGGTCCAACAAAACCAAACTCCCTTAAATGCCCGGGCGCACGCCGAATCGGATTACGACCAGTACATTTTCTGGAGTGATTGCATAATTCGGTGTGGATAAAATACCACCGTCTTGTTCTGAATCCAGTCCGTCCGGTCCCTGACCCCAGCAGAATGAAGTGGCGCCGGCAATTTACAGTATCCCAGTTCGTGTTGTGGTGCTTAGGAAAAAACGGACTCCGTGGCCTAATGGTCGATCTAATGATTTTTAAAATCGGGATTGGCCTACACAACCACACCAATGATTCCGTGTCAAGTCTAAATGTTCCGAAAATGCTTTGTTATGGCTTGTTCGAATGCTCAAGAAGATATTATACATTTGTGCGTGCAGGTGTTTTGGTTTAGAGTAGATGATGTATTCGTGCTTGAGCTGATCCACATAGTTCTCAGAAATACCAGACCATAAGTTTTCAGAAGAGTTTGTGACGGCACGGTCTGGTAGACAGAGACTGAATAACAGGGATGGGATTCTTGAACTGCCACAGTACCGACTTGACTGTATAAATAGGCTTTGGGATAAAAGAACAGGCTATAATGAATAAAAGCTTTGGCTGTCGACTTCACCAGCCAGAGTCCTGGGCTGTTTGTTCAGGCGTTCGAGCCAAATTCCACTGGAAACGGGTTCGTTTTAACGCCTCTGTGCGTGTTTGTGCCAAAGCTTCTGTAGCAGGACCCGCTCTTTCAGTCGGCTCATACTAAAGCCACAGAAACGGGACCCGAGTAGGCCCAAAAAATATACCGGCATTTTGTTCGGGGTCGTTATTCACGGGATGTGGCATGAAGGGGCCCAATTCGCCCCGGCCTGGCCCACAAAGCCGAATCCATCCGGGACAGGACACATGTCGGACATTACAGACTGGGTTCCGTCGCTTCAGGTAACTTAGGGGAGCCCTGGTACACACTAACACGTTTTGGTTTTCGCAAACTAATGTACAAATATTTGAGTTGGAATAATCACATGAATAATTATCAATACAAGCAACATATACATCTCTGCAGCAAACGAGCAGTTGAACGTGGTTTTCTGCACCTACCGTTGGGTGGGGACCTGTCACAGACCCAAAGGGTTCGTTAGAACACTGGCTAGAAAAGTCTGATAAACTGGCGCAAACAAAATGAATTCAGTATAATACGATATGGTATGAAACAAATATATTTCCCAACCATACTGCATTACACGAAACAGGTCAACCCTAAACCCCACATGTGCCCGAGCAGATACACAAGGGGCAATTAACATGGCGCATGTTAATCAAGGCTATTTGGTTTTACTGAATTTGCAGTTTCTTCGTTTACCTTCGCAGTTTTGAAACGGAATTTTGAATAGAATTGATGTTTGGACTCAGAACAGGGTGGAGGCGCTCTGGCTGTTCCTTGAAAGGTGCGCGGCTCCTCTTGCATAGCCTCGTATTTACAGCAGCTACAGATCCCAAAACCAGTTGAAAACTTCACTGCATACGCTATACCTCATACCCTATCACCGAAATCTGGTGTTGCACCTGTCAGCGGTACATTACAACATTAACCGCCGGTGTTCTCCTCAGGTGGCTGGGAGTGACCTCGGCGGGCGTATCGGAGCAGCTGGGCTGTGCCAACCTGCCTCTGAGCCACAGACAACGGGAGCTGTGCCGGAAGAAGCCGTTCCTGCTGCCCAGCATCCAGAACGGAGCCCGGCTGGCCATCGCCGAGTGCCAGAGCCAGTTCAGAAACGAGAGGTGGAACTGCTCCACCTCCGAGGACCCGTCCGTGTTCGGATACCAGCTAACGAGCGGTGAGGAGACTGGATTAGATATAATACAAACCCAAATACTGTGTGAAAACAAGAGAGACAACTTTAAAGGTCTTTACCAGCAGTGGGGTCAAAGGGCGTCCTGATGAAGGCACCAGAGGACAAGACACGTGTGTCCTCAAAGAAAGGACTCATTATGGAAATGGAATCGTTTAGTACATTCTTAGCCTGCTGAAGTCACTGTCACCTTTTAAAAGCTTTACGGAGGTGCATCGGTTTCCCCTAAATCTAAAACGGTTATTAGTTGTTTTTTACCGGCTCTTAACTATCCAGCTGCTAATTTCTGAGGTTTTAATTTCATTCTTATTCTCAGATAACTACCGCTTTATTAAACGGAATCACGGATTATGGAATTAAAGTTGTAAAATATACAAAATAGTTGTCAAATCAAATTTATTTGTATAGCACTTTAAAACAACACCCAGCTGACCAAAGTACTTTACATGGCAAAGTAAAATCACAATAAGTGACTAAAATAAAGTAAATAAGATCAGTGCAAATAAAAATAAAACAGCACAATAACACAGACACACATAGCATACGTTCGATAAATTAAAATTAAATTAAAAGCAGTTAAAAGGAATGCATCAAGGCCCTATTGTGTATTAAAAGCCAAGCCAAATAAATAAGTTTTAAGCAATGATTTAAAAGCACTGAGGTCAGTAGCTGACCTAACATTAAAAGGTGGACTATTCCACAGTTTGGGGGCTGCAACAGTAAAAGCACGGTCAGCCCAGTGTTTATATCTGCCCCTAGGAACCTCTAAAAGAAACAGGCTTGAAGATCTGAGGGACCTTGCAGGTTTGTGCCAATGCACTAATTCAGTGAGGTAAGATCGTGCCAAACCATTAAGAGCCTTAAAAACAAGTTGTGCAGGTACCTCTTAATTTTATTCCTTCTAAAGGACCTTAATTATTCCATTTTGGAGCCAGTTTATATGTTCACGCAAATATAGATAAGCGGATAAACTGATGAATTTGTAGATGAGAGATTTTTTTATTCAGGGGTAAAAAAAATGTAAATCGATGAAATAACATGAGCCATCCTCGAAATTCCACCTACATTGTTTTTATATCCTAAACCTTTTGATTTATACAGAAACCCCCCATTAGAATGTGTTAAAGGATTTTAAACTAAGGTGCTTCGGAAGTGTTAGTTTTGCGTGACATATTAAGGGATCTGTATCTATCACACACACCGTGATCGATTTTCAAAAATTAATTAATTAATTAATTAAATGAATTAATCCTTCTTAAATCATTTAATCCTAATTAAATCAAGGATTAATTTTAAGGGTATGTTGTGATTATTTAGTCTAGACCATTTATATTATTAGGGGGAACAAAATATCACAAAGCACCTGTGACAGAGGAGTTTTATATTTAGGCTGCTGTTAGCTAAATGAAGATCAGGCCTCACCGCCAAAAAAGCTCAATTAAATGAACAACTCGTTTTCTCCCAAATGTTTATTTTAATAAGAAATAATGTCTTGGCTCCACGTTTCTGTCGTGTGATTTTGTTGCTGGCCGCGTTGGTCCTGGGACACACAGGGCTTGAGCATTAAAGTATTTGAGTGCTTGCATCCTGACTTGATGATGTCACACTGACCTCCTGTCCCTCTCGTCCAATAGGAACCAAAGAAACGGCGTTTATCTACGCGGTGATGGCGGCGGGACTGGTCCACGCCGTGACCCGCTCCTGCAGTCTGGGCAACTTGACGGAGTGCGGCTGCGACGCTCGGCTGCAGGGTGGTGGCTCGTCGGCGGAGGGCTGGCACTGGGGCGGCTGCTCGGACCACATCCAGTACGGGACCTGGTTCAGCCGCAGGTTCATCGACAGTGCTGTCAAAAACATGTCGACGACCAGAGGGGGGTACACGCTGCTCACCATGAACCAGCACAACAGTGAGGCCGGGCGACAGGTGAGAGAGCAGGAACCAGGTGTTCAGTCGCATTTACTAAGAAGGTTCTGGTCATTGGGAGGTTTCCGTAGATCATAAATACACAAGAAACTGCAGCTTATAGGGGCGGGGGTTATGACCTGGATGGATTACTGAACGGGCCTGCAGGGTGCAGGGGCCCCTGGACCAGAGAACTGTGAAATCACTACAAAACGCCACAAAATGAAAAACGTAGCTACAACATTACTACAAAGAGGCACATAATTACCAAAAAGAGATAGAAAATGCCCCAAAGACACAAACATGACTGCAGAAACAGCCAAAGGAGACACAAAACTACAGAAATACAAAACAATATCTGGACACAGAACAAGTAAAAATAAATGCCAAGTGACTGCAGACAGAAAACAAGAAAAACTAGCAAACAGCTACAAGCCGGTGACTACAGAGCACATGTTTACTTAAAGTGTCCTACTCTCTGCTCCCAGAAATTTAGGAGAGTTTTTACATGTCTGTGCCCAGGGGCCCAGCGTCTCGTAAAGCCGGGTACACAGAGAATCCACTCCTGCTGCTCTTGGCTTTTACTGGTGGATATTTTCAGCATTCTGGGGGCCCTGTTCTAATCCGTGTCTCTGTCCCGTGTCCTTCAGGCCATTGACCGGACGATGTCCACAGACTGTCGTTGTCACGGTGTCTCCGGCTCCTGTGCAGTGAAGACCTGTTGGAGGACGATGGCGGCGTTCGAGCGCGTCGGCGTTTACCTGAAGGAGCGGTACGAGCATAGCGTTCAGGTGTCCGACCGCTCCAGGAGGAAGACGAGGAAGAAGGACCAGCGTCGGCTCCACGTCGACAAACACCAGCTCATTTTCTTCAACAAGTCTCCGAACTACTGCCTGGAGGACCGGCGGCGGGGCGTCGCTGGCACCAGAGGACGCCGCTGCAACCGAACGTCGACCGGACCAGACGGATGCAACCTGCTGTGCTGCGGCCGCGGATACAACACACACGTGGTGAGAGACGTCCAGCACTGCGAGTGCAAGTTCGTGTGGTGCTGCTTTGTCCATTGCAGGCGCTGCGAGAGCATGAACGACATGCACACCTGTAAATAACAACACACCTGGAAGCACTAACACACAGCTCACGCTGAGGATGAAGACACGATCTTAATTTTAAAAAACGAAACTGATGTGCCAGGCTTGCAGGAGCATGAACGACATGCACACCTGTAAATAACACACCTGGAAGTAAGAGAGGCGGATGAAAGAGACGTCTTTGAAAACAAAGTGGACGGTGGATACTACTGGATCATCTTTCAACCAGTCGGGGCCTTTGTGACCTGTGACAGGCGGAGCTGCAGGAGAAGATTCAGGCTGGCTGATTCAGTTTGAGTCAGACCTTCTGGTCCTAAGACACATAACTGGAACACATCTCGATCTGGTTCAGTGAGACTTCCACTTCCTGAGGATCTTACTGTCTCTGCTGTTCCTCCAGAACAAACCTGAGGAACAGAGGCTGTCGATGTTGTCTTCAGTCCCACAGTAGAGTTTAGTGATTGTTGTCTGTATGTCCATGTGAAAGAGACTCTGCAGAGGCTTTAACACACTCGACTGGAATAAGCTCCTACTCGTTTTGGAGGAAACTGAGGCTTTCTTCCTTTAATCAAATGGAACATTTTTTAGAACAGAAAGGATCACACTAACACAAGGTAGAATCGGGATCAAAAATTTTCCCTCTGCTTCAGGCAGACAGTTTAAAATCGTGGGGCCACTAGAGGGCGCTGTCATCAGGCCACACACCTCGGTCCGCACTGGGCACATGTGGAGGTTGGTCCAGAGGCCACGTCCTGTCCCAAACCTGCTTTAAATGTCTTCTTTGTCAACAACACCCAAACTGAATGATTGAACATTTGATCCATATTTATAGATGAAGTTACTGTGTTTTCATGTGTAGATTGTGTTTCTTCTTCTTTTATCAGAATCAAAGAACGGGAGCCACAGTGCAGTTTCAATAAGATCGAGGAAGGAGAGTCGGTTCAGATGCTGATCATTCATAACAAAATCAGGATCAAACACATGAACAGTTCTCTGAATGAATTTCACACTTTGGTTCGTTGTTATGGCATCGGTCCAAGCCCAAAGGCAGCACAGCAGCCCCACATCACGGTGCTGCCATCACAGTGTGTCACCACTAGGATGATGTTTTCATGTTGTATGCGGTTCCGTCTTTACACCATGCGTAGTGCTGTGGAGTGTCAAAGTGCTCTGTGGCAAACCTCAGGTGCACTGCAGTGTTTTATGACAGCACCGGTGCTCTGTGAATCCTGATGTTTTCATACCAACATGGAAACATCATCCCTACAGTGAAAGGAGCACTGTGATGTGGGACTGGACCGCTGCCAACGTGGAGGGGCACATGAATTCCCAGGTTCATCAGGGGATCCTACAGGATCATGTCAGGGTGGCTGTCTGTCCACCAGTTGAGCCTCAATAGGAGCTGGGCAAGGCAGCAGGACAGTGATCCTAAGACAGAAAGGCGTCAGAACAAGAAAATCTGCCACACGGTGCCTAGAGCCCAGACCTCGACCCAGCAGAGATGCTGTGGACTGAGCTCAGAGAGCCGTTCACACATGTCCTTCCTGGGAATCTGGCTGAGCCGAAGCAGCTCTGTGAGGAAGAACGGTCCGGAGTTCCTCCTGAACATTGTGCTGGTCTGAGCCACGGCTACAGGAAGCAGCTGTTTGAAGTTATTACTGCCATAGAAGCTTCAACCAGCTATTAACTTAGTTTTTCCACCAGCACTTTGAGTGTTTTCTGGCTGAGCTCAATAAAGACATGACACATTATAATTGTTTGTGTGATATCAGCTTCAGCACATTGTGTTTGTCAGCACTTGTGACTTTGAAGAAGATTGGATCATGTTTTATGACCAAATGGTTAGAGAACTGGGTAATGCCAAATGGTTCACTTGGTTTGTTTTGCTGGGACATGGTGAGAAACACTTTAACCTGTGAGATGAGGCCAGAACAAAAAGGTGGTAAAAGTGCAACTGGTTGGTCCTGACAGTCAGCACAACTGTGTGTGTTATCAGCAATGTGTGATGACAGAGCAGAAAGTTTCAGGAAGGAGAAAACAGCCCCTGACTCTTCTGTCCGATGCAGGATTTCCTGCTATTCTGTGCACACGCCGACACACTGGTGAACTGCAGTGTGTCTGTGTGTGTTGGGGGGGGGGGGGGGTGCCTGCTGCATAATGTCCAGGCTTTTATAAACCCAGCAGATACTTTGTCACATGTCACACTTTGCTACAACTGGTACCAAACTGTGTTGGAATATCCTGGAATTTACAGCTCAACACATTCATTTATTACTCAACTGTTTCTCAACTATGTCGTAGCAGTGTAATCTCTTCAACAAGCAGTGGCAGAGTCTTAGGAGGCGGTCGGGGTTGGACCCACAAGTCCAGCACAGAGAAGCCAGAGTCCCGTCTGTGACACTTTGGTTCAGGTTCGGGTAAAATGGTGGCTCCGGCTCAATGTCTATGTTGGGCTTCTCCGAGCTGAACCAGGACCTGAGAGAATGTGAACAGTTTCATAAAGTGGAGGCTAGACCCAGATTCTGCGACTTGTCAGATACATGATGAACAACATTTCTTCTTCATGTCCAGTCGCAGTTATGTTTCCTGTTCAACTTACTGTTGTAAATGACAGTTACATTTAGCATCATTTCATGGAGACAGTTGTTAAAGTTCAGGAGCAACCTGTTGAAAAATGTATAAAAATGTCCAGGTGATGAAATAAAGTTGTGTTGGTGTGTAAAAACCTCAGAGTCAGTGGTTTTCTGTGAGTAGGACTTTCAGGAAACACACAGAGGGAGGGGGGAGGAGGAGGCGGCTGAAAAGAGTGGCACAGGAAGACACAGCCTTCAGTGTGACAAGGACTAGCTCAGGAAACATGGAGCTGTGTGAGAGCCCAAAGCTGCTGCTTGTCCCTCTGATGATGATGATGATGATGATGATGATGATGGATGAGAGGAAGACTTCGGCAGCATCACAACAGGTAACATCATCTCACTGAGTTTCCTGCTGCTGCATTCAGGTGCCCCTGCAGGGAGGAATCTAGCTTTACTAAATGAGCTCAATCTTTCAGCCTGTTAGTGTTGGTCGTCTGTGCCTTGGAGTTTACACTGACTGGAGAACAAACTGTTCAGCTTCACACCTTTAACACAAAACTAACAAGTGCAGCTCAGATTCCATCCTAAACCTGAAGCGAGATTAATGAGACGCTGCTGAAATATTCCTCAGCTGCCTAATGCTTGCGCAGCCTGAGGAGCAGGGGCACCGGATACCATTTCGCATTGACATTAACAGAAACCCAGCATTTTAGTTTAAAGCTTTTAAAGGCCCTTTAATATCTGAATCCCACTTAAAGTTCCCTCTGAGAATGGACTGCAGTCAGATCCACACTGAACAAAAACCTTCATGTCAGGATTAAATGATGGAGGATGCAGGACTGAAGGAAACATTTGATCCCTAACCGATGAGCGCCTTCTTTCTCCTGTTTTACTTATAGGATTAACATGGCAGGCCGATAAAATGAACCTTTAACTTCTAACTCTACATTGTTTGTTTTACTAGATCACACTGCTGAAATCAGCCTGAAAAGATTAGTGATCAGAAACTAAAAACATGTAAAACAACTTTTATTAATCATCGCATGTTGTCCTCATCATATTTTATTCTGTTAAGCTTTATGAATTAAAATACTGATAAGAGTTCAGACTTTTAGTCCTTAAACGGTTCCAGTAATTCGTTTTGTTCCCACACTGTAAATCTGATTTTTCTCCAGGATGATAAAGTTAATCAGAAGTTCAGATGTGCAATAGAAACCTGACGACAGTGTTGGTACACAATATAGCATTTCCAGGCAGACTCCAAAATGTTTTCCATGATGTTGGGTTTACCATCATATTTCAGGATAATTCTTTGCCTGGAAACCTGCAGCCGAGTCCTCCAGGTCTTTTCCAGGCCTTGTATTTCTCAGTGTTTCCAGGGCGGATCAGATGGCAATGATAACCACTCAGGCCCGGTTTGCATGTTGGAGAGTGTTGGACTAGGCTTGGTTTGACATAGGTGTTCCTAATAAACTGACCTTAACCAAATCATTCTTAAAGGGTACTGTATTTTTGTGGGAGTTTAAAGGTAAAAATTAAGGATCCAGCTTCACAGAATTTGGAGAAACACTTCTGTCCAAAACCTCTAATAAAAGGCTGAAACACACTGTGTCCACACACGTTTGGATGTCTGTGCCAGAACCTGTGCTCAAACTCGTCGGTGCTGAGGACTCGGACCGCCTGTCACTCCTGCAGCGTCAGCACGTTGATGCCCTGTCCAGCTGGATACAGACGGACCCCCGAGTCCAAGCTGAGGAACTGCTGGTGAGTGAACGCAAACCAGTAGTCTGATGTGTACGAGGCTGTAGAAGCCTTCAGTAGCCGAGTGTGTTTGTGTGTGCGCAGGTACTACGTCAAGACCGCCAGTATGAACCTACACCTTAGCGGCTGCTCCTTCGAGTGTTACAGAGAGGTGGAAGTGACGAGCTGCTGTCCAGGCTTCTGGGGACTGGACTGCATCGGTGAGGACACAAGCACAAAGGGTTCATCCTCTGAGGGGCAGGAAGGGAAAGTGTGCCTGTTAGACTGAGAGGTTTCTTGTGCTGAAACATGTTCTGCACTTGACACCATTACGTTTCCTCCACAGCTGATTTGTCCAGACAAATGAGTAGCACAGATACACACAGCTGGGTGACAAGTGACAGAACAAACTATCACACAGTGTCTCCAGAGCAGCGTCAGGTCTCCTCTGTCGGAGGAGGAAACGTCATCCTTCCAAACCAGATCCCCCCTCTGTGTCCGACCCGTCGCGTCCGACCCCACTGTGTCAGACCCACTGTGTCGTCCTCATGAAGCCATTCAGTGACCTAGAGCTGCAGCCATGAGTTAGTTCACTGGTAGAAAATGAACCTCAGCTATTTAGAAGCAACAGTCACTGACATGTTCTGGTTCCACCTTCTTTAATGTGAGGAGCTGATGCTTTTCTTTGTCAGACATGAGAATCAGCTGAGTCTCTGTGGGTCTGTTGGTTGGATTTCCACTCAGTCAGGAGCTTCCTCCCATTTGTCACCATCTGTATTGTGTAACAGACACAGGTTACTCCTGCCACATGATTGGTCCTGCAGGAACCAGGACTTTATTCCACTCTGTAGACTCTCAGTGATCAGGACAGGAATCTGCTGACAGGCACACATGGTCCTGGACTCACCGGACCCCCGACACACAGACAGAGAACATTAAAACAATGCTAGCACAACTCTCTACAAGCCTCTGACAACCATTTCCTGTCATCAGAGTGTCCTGATCGGGCTGACAAACCCTGCAGCAACAGAGGCGTCTGCTCTGATGGACTGGGAGGAAACGGGACCTGCACCTGTCAGGTAACACACCTGGACTGAAACATAGCATCAGTCAGCTAAACAGCACAATGAAGTCCATTGGTCACTGAGTAAAGGTAGAAAGGCAAAAGCAGATATAGTCCCAAACTGAGTAGAATACATTGATTAAAAACAGTGGAGAAAAAAAAACAGTCTTTAGTTTAGTTTTAAAAATGAAACCTGCAGAAACATACAGTGATTGACAGGAGGGAGAGCTGCATTAGGCACAGAGCAGACAGATGAACATCAGCTGCTGTGAGGGAGAAGAAATCAGCTGAAAACACAGTGGTTCCTTTGTGTACAAATAAAACATGTGCACAGAAACCCAGAGTGTCTCAGTGGACTCTAGTAGCTTACATGACATCTAGAACCCTTAGAACAGAACCATGTGGAGACACCTGTTAAATCCTAACACGAGTAGCCACAGTAAATAATGTCAGTGTTACCAGGAGACATTCACCTTTTTGTGTGCTTGCATAATGATGTAGTGTGTGTTTGTATTTTAGGTGGGTTTTGCAGGAACTGCATGTGAGGATTGTGCACCTGGTAGATATGGCCCCACCTGCAGCTCAGGTGACATTAGATAACAGATAAAGATCAGATGGGAGGCTGAGCATGTTTCTGACACACTTGTGTTTCCTGTGCTGCAGTGTGCTCCTGTGTCCATGGCCTGTGTGACTCTGGACTCACAGGAGATGGTCGATGCACCTGTTTCTCTGGATATAAGGGTCCAAACTGTGACCAAGGTCAGTGCCTCTGCTTCTCATCATCAACCAGTGACTTTACAATGTGCAGGATTCTGCTGTTCTGTCACCTGTTACCTGTCGGCTGCACCCAGTCGGAATCATGAACATGAAGAGTCTCTCAGCGTTTCTGTAGGAGGAAAGTTTTAGTTTTTACAGCCCTCTGTAGTCCTTCAACGCGCCACAGAGTGCGTGCGTGTGTGTGACAACGCAACACGAAAGCTGTGCCAACTCGCATTAGTGTCGGTATGTTGTAGACTTGGAATATAATGGATGGAGCTTCGTGCTGCACAGTGTGTGAGTCAGCGAAGTGTTACATTACGTTAATGTCACTGCTGTTGTCTAATGACAGGTGTGTTGCTAGTGTCAGCATCCGCACCTTGGTAGCGTAGCAGTTCACGGCTCGGACTAGTTAGTAGTTACTGAACTCAAAAGCTGTTAGCGTGCGCGATAAATGATGCGGTACAGAAAATGCTACCGTTTATACACACTTACGCTCATACAGTGGTCAGTTTATTAGGAACCTCTGTGTCAGAATCAGTCTAACCCATCGTGCTGCAGTGAAGCCTCTCTCACGAAGGTGACGGTGTTTAGTTCGTGTTCAGACTGTTTGACAGAGGTGCTGGCTCGTTTGTGGTCATTTTGAGTTGTGGTAAGGTGTTTCTATTATTTTGTCGTCCCACCCCTATTTATCTCTGTGAGGCTAAGCACAACCTCCAGAGTGATTCCACAGGTGAACCACCACCCTCAAACTGAACATCATCACCTTCTTGGAGCACTGCTGGATCAGACTGACTCAGTTTGAGCTCCAGCAGGTGTTCCTAATAAAATGACCACTGAGTGTATTGTGTGATAAAATATCTGTATTTAGGATAAGTTTCCCTGGGTGAAAGGCTCCAAGTTGCAAGGGACGGATTTGACTTGAGCTCCAATTTGAGTATTTTTGTAATGTTTGATGAGTGCAGCGTCGTACAGCGGCTGCCTACCTCTTCCTTTGGTTAGCGGCACACATGCGCCACCTATTGGTAGGAACAAATTACTACCATTGTCGACGGATTCAGCTCGCTGTTAGTGTGGCTGCATTAGAGGCAAACCAGGTGCTGGTGTGCTGACCTTCTAATCACACAGACACGCACATATACAGCCAAGAAAGTGGACAGAATTATCATGTGCCCTGACCGACACTCAGTGGCCAGCGTCATATTCCACCAGCGAAGGAGAGAACTCCTTTCCCCAACCTACACTGGGAGCAGACGGACTCATTTGTCAGAGACCTCAGGCTTAGAGGCTTACATTTAGTGACTCATGACCACTGGGGTATAGTTCACAACAGTCTGTCACCTCTCTGGTCAGCATCACCTGAGCGTGCTGTCACCTGTCCCTGGTCATTCAACTGAGCCTGCCGCCGTCACTTGTCACTGTGTGTTTCAGAATCCCCTGAGTGTGCAGCTCTCACCTGTCAGCAGAACTCTCACTGTATGCAAGAAGCTCTGACAGGACAGCTGGTGTGTCAGTGTCTGCCTGGTTACCAGAAATCAGGAGATCAGTGTTTATGTGAGTTCATATTTAAAATACATCAAACTCTCTCTTTATAAATTTACCTGGTCAAGTTACATGTGAAATTGTGAGAACGGTGCTGTAGTTTGCGAATCCTAATGACTTTCTGTTTTTTTTAAGCAACATATGTCCAGATTCACAAAAGCAGGTTTTGTGACCACAGTCCAGTTTCAGTTGTTCTACAGCATCCAGACTTTACCGCAAACACTACAACTGGACAGATGTATAGAAATATAGAAAACCGAGCTGACCGACCAACAGTGAACTACTCAGTATATTTTCACTATTGTTTGTTTTTCTCTTTACAGGTTATTATTTAAAAAAAAAAAAAAGAACAAATAATGGCAAGCATCAAAGTTGGTACCATCTCCAAAGTCTGTGTTTTACAAGTGTAATATTTTCCTACTTAACATGGGCATCACATGTCAAGTATTCAAAGAACGAAGAAAGGAAAATAAAAATAATAAAACCCCAAGTTCAAACAAAAGAAAAACATGAAGCCTAGTGAGACTGCAACCCAAACCAGCAGCTGGTGTAAATGGTCCCAGTTTGTATCAGTATCACAGTGACACACCAAAGGCTTAACCTCTCCTAGTTACAGTGGTGCAGTTTGTCCCATGTTGCTGGGATTTTCTTTTTTTTTACTATGACTGTTGGGTTATGGACCCAAAACAGAGCCGGAGTTCACAACTAAATGTTAGTTTGTTTAAATATAAGAACTAAAGACTGGGTCAGAACAGCCCACAGCCTCTGAGGTTTGCTACCCAGTGGTAAAGCAAGCGATCGGTGTGGTTGAAACTGAGCCAGTGATTTTTGTTGTGCAGCAGTGACACTTCGGTACCTCCAGTACTCTGTCTGTATCACTTTGGAACTAAAGGTTTGTTTAAGCCTCACCGTTCATGTTTCAAAGCTACTTAGATGTGTTAAAGAGGACTTTAGAAGCTACAGTGGTCTGTGTCTCCTCAGCTATAAACCCATGTCTTCAGAGGGTTTGTGATGTCCACGCCTCCTGTGTCCACACTGGTCCAAACCAGCACCTGTGTGCCTGTAAGGAGGGCTACAGCGGGGACGGACGAGTCTGCATGGCCATTGATCCGTGTCAGACCAATCAGGGAGGCTGCTCGGCTCGCTCCACCCAATGTGTCTATGACGGACCAGGGAAGGTACAAATCTACTGAAGGAAAAGGTTCAGGATCAAGACCGAGTCAGGACCAGGGTCAGAAGCAGGTGGAGGAAGATCAGGATCAAGTAGGGGAGGTTCAAGTTCAGGATCACTATCAGGATTATGCTCAGAGGCAAAATCGGGATCATGATCAAGAACAAGATTGTGGTTGGAAGTAAGAAAAACAGGTTTAAAAACAGCATCCTGGTTCCAATCAGAACCAGACAGGACCAGGCCCAGAAGCAGGTAGAGAAGGATCAGGATCAGGTTCAAGAACAAGATTAAAATCGGCATCAGGAGTGGGATCAGAAACAAGACAACGATCTTGATCTTTGTTAGGTACAGGAACAAGAGCAGGATCAGGTTTAGGAACAGAAGCATACCTGGAAATCAGGTTTGGTAAAGTAGCAAGATGAGAAACAGGATCAGCTTTAGGGAAAAGAACAAGATCTGGATCAGCAACAAATGTGTGTTTCTGCTGTGCCGCCTTCAGTCTCACTGCGAGTGTCTTCCTGGTTTTGACCACCTGCTGAATGGCAGCTGCAGCATGAAGGGCCTCTGTAGACCTGGTTCCTGTCATGCAAATGCCAAGTGTACCACAGTGGGACCAGGAAGAGCTGAGTCAGTCCTTTCACTTGTTCTGTTTTCACTGCAGTATCTAATGCATGTGCAGATGTCTCTAATATGCATCACCTGTCCCCCTGCCCCTCAGGTGCACCTGTCTGCAGGGTTACATCGGTAACGGAAAAGTGTGTCACGGGAACATCCTGCAGCGTCTGATCAACCTGAACACTGAACCTCAGGGAGCGTTCAGTGGGCAGCTGAGCAACGCCATCACTCTGTTTGGTACCAGCACGCATTTTTACATCAATACACATGTGACAAGGTCAAATTCGGACAAACGCACACAAATGTAGCTGGTGAAAATAACGAGGGACAGACTATAGCTGGTCAAATCAACGAGGCAGACTGGTCCCAGCTACTCTTTTTATTGCAGTGGTGCCAGCACAGCTGCAGTGTGTTATTGCAGCTGAGATAAGAGTTAGGACAAATAATACTGCACACAAACAACAACACAGCAAATGCAGAAACGCATCCAGAGATCTAAGAACACATCTGTGACATAAACATGTTGTGATGAAAGATTGCGGTCTGGTCATGGACTGTAACAGGAATAGAAACAGGAGTGATACCAGGAGACGTACAAATGTACCTGTGTGCCATATCCCTGTTGCTCCTGCTGTTTCCTGTCTGGTTCTGTGCCATGTGCTGTCTAATAAAGGCAAAATGCCAGAACCCGTGTCAGAGCGGATGCAGGATGCAGACTGACAAGCAGCTAATGCATGTTGTCGGTGAACACGTGCAGGAGCTGGTGCAACAGCTCCAAGACCTCAGACGACGACAATACAATGAAACCAGTGCCAAAACCTCCAGTGAAGTGTAGCTGGCAGTGACGTTTCCTGTCGGTACAAAAAAAAGGTAACGAACTGCTGTATGTTCACAGTAGTTTATGTTTGACTGTAGCAAGGAGGTAGGACACAGCTCACCCCATGTGGCAACAATCACAAGGTTAAAAATAAAATGTAAAACATTTTTGGTCAGTGGTCGACAGATCTGTCTGCCCCTCAGTGACACGAGGGACCAGTGGACATCCTGGAGAGTGACTGTGGCACGCTGGGAAATTCACCCACAGTTTACACATGCGTTTATTTGTCAGAATAAATGACCTTCAGCACGTTGTTTGAGGTGATCTTAATTCTCACATCGCTCTAACAAGCAATAAAGGCTGTGTCCTCTCTGTCTGTTTCCAGCGTCTCTGTCGTGGCCTCTGCAGAATCTGGGCCCTTTCACCGTCTTCGTCCCAGTCGATAAAGGATTCAGAGGAACCTCGGTGAGAATCGGCTTCACTGAAAAGGAACACTATCATTTGTTTTCTTGGCTCTGATGACATGAGCAGGTCTAGAGTCAGGCAGCTGCACTGCAGTGTAAACAGATAAGTAATGTGTGAATAAGAAGGCTGCTGCTCGCAGGTTCATAATGGTGGACTTCTCTCCAGGTGCAGACTCTGACAACAGACTCCTCCAAAGCTAAATATCTGTGTACGATGCACCTGGTGGCGGGGATGATGCCGATCAGCACGCTGAAGGAGACCAACACCTTCTACACCCTGACTGGAAAGTCAGCTGAGGCCGACACATCTGAGGGGGTCAGAGAGAAGTACACGTGATCACACATGACAACAAACAGCAAATCAGTGAACCTCGTAAACACAATTGACTTTTCATTTAGTTTAGCTTTGCTGTGTTTGCCGTGGGGAAGGAGGGCATACAGCTGTTGACCAGCAGAAACCATCTCCCCAGCTGTCACCTGCAGGGTTAATTTTCACACCTGAGTTTGGTCACTTTTAGTCTTGATGAAAATTTGTTTTAGTCAAATTTGAGCCTTTTGACTTTTATTAGTTTTAGTGAATAAAAACTAAATACACCTTTAGTCTAGTTTTAGTCATTTTAAATATTTACTGTGGCTCTTCATCCCGGACGTGTTGTTCCCGTCTGTCGTGACATTTGTGGGAAACGGTGTTTTATTCCCGCAGTGTCACTTTGCTCTGCAGAAGCTGGACTCCCTCACACTCAGACTAATATCTTTTCACTGGGTGTGCTGGGCGTCACGCTGTGAACTCAACGCAAAGTGAACTCAACACAAAGTGAACACAGCTTACGGGCTGTGATGGCCTCAGACTGTGTGCTGATGCAGTGCCTGTATTTAACACTGGCTTTAAAGCATTTCACTGATCTCCCAGTCACACCAGTTAAACAGTGAAACCCTGAGGGTATTAAAGTCAGACAGCACCGCAGTGATGGAGGCTTGTTCACTCCTTCCTACATCCCAGTCTGGAACCTGTTTGGTTTTTTATGTCCAAACAGGACATTTATGAAATGTTAACATTTTCCATGACATAGATGAGAAGCTCAGCTTGTCCAGGTTTTCCAGGATGAAACATGTCATCAATTCAGTTTGTATCCTCAGTGAGAAGTTCTTTGTGAGGTGGCAGGTTCTGAGAGAAACCTGACCCATCTAGACAGACGTGAGGCTGTCAGGTGGATCCCGGCGACTTTTCCGTCTACACATTGGCTTGCTATTATGTTTCCAGGACTTGCAGATTAAAATCCGCATCCATGGCAGCAGAAAGAAAGGTGTCATCATTCAGTCTGACGTGGTTGCATCCAACGGGATCATCCACATCATCAATAAGCTGATGGACAGTGTCCCTCCCACAGTGGCCAGTGATGCTGAGGTACACAGCTGTCTGTCAGCCTGACCAGAGTCATTCAGTTGTGGACTGTCTCATCATTACGTTCATGTTCTTCTATGTTGTATGTGTTTGGGTACCCTCAGGAGAACCTGATGAAGATCATTTCTGACTACGGCAAGTTTGACAAGTTCAAGTCGTTGTTGCAGGTGTGTACAATGCTTCTCTCCTGCACGAGACATATTTTCCTGGACCAGGAGTGTTCATACTAGACTAAACCAAATTCCAGATCATGTCCTGATCATGCTCCTGTTCTCCAGAGGATCAAACCTTCACATGTTGAAGACCTGGTTGCTGCTGTAGGTCCACCAGCTATTTCACATCGTACACTGAGCTGCAAGCCACAGTCTGACACACTGCAGGAAGTGTTGATGTGCATGTCTGAATCAGTATGGATCCAGAAAATGTGTTACTAACCTGGATCAGTCCCGGTGTTTGGTAAACCACATGTATGTGGACATAAACACAACTTGTGGAAATCATGTATTGCAAATATGCGTATAACACATTTAATGTAAATATGTGTATACATTTTTGTATATAGGTAACGGCAAGAAAATCAGTGTACATTTCAAATGTGAGTTTATTGCATATAATGCATGTTTACATATGTACATATGAAGTGAACTGTGCTTCACGACCTGTTCCTGCTGGGCCTACAGGACATCTTTCTTCATGTTAAGTGGTTTTCTGTTGACACGGAGACCATTTATAACCACAGCTAAAGCACACCACGTATCCCATATCTATGTGTACTGCACATAACTGGTTAAGTATGTATCAATGAATGTATGGTGTGACACACTCACAGTACGCTGTTCGAACTAAAGGAACTATTCATATGTAACCATGACTCAGAGTGCACACGTGTGGACCATGTGCTCTGCCTGCAGAAAACAGAGCTGGCATCTGTCCTGGACCGTCCTGAGCCTGTCACAGTGTTTGCGCCCAGCAGTGCGGCTTTTGATGCGATGAAAGACGGACACCTGCAGTACCTGAGCAGTGCTGAGGTGAGGACCACTTGACACTTAACACACAGCCAGAGTTCTGATAAAGGACCTCACAGACTTCAGCAGTGTTCTGCACCTCAGGGCCACAACAAACTGGTGGAGCTGCTGAGGAACCATGTTGTCCCCGACACCACCGTGAGTACAGCTGTCTGCTGACTCCTCATTTGCTTTGGCTCATACTTTTGTCATTACTCATGTCTTCTGCTTATTTTCCTGACTTGAAGCTGGAGGTCTATAACACTGTGTCGAGCCCCAGACTTGTGACGATGGCCAATCAGGTTCTGGAGATTAACGTGACAGGAAATGTAAGTGTGAATCTCTACGCCTCCGTGTCTGTGGCTCCATGCCCTCTCCTGTGAAAGGTGTCACAGTTTCAGTTTCAGTTGCACCTCCAGGGAGTGAGTTTTTCTTTTGCATGATCCGGTATCACAGCAAGGCTTAGTTTGTTAAAGGGGCATCTCAAAAGGAACTGCTGAGTTTAATATTAAAATGTCAGCAGCAATAGAAAGCAGAGAAATGGGGAGGATGAGTTCCCTCTCAGAAGAGACCGGGGTGAGGAGCTTGACCCAGAGGTTCAGGAACAGCACAAGTTTGGTTTGGAGATGGACACAAAAAGGGCATTTGTTGATTAATTGCATGAATTTTAAACGGCGAAACTGTGAGAGGGTTTTTATCAACAAGTCGGTGACAGCATGGAGAATGTTGTGTTCCTGAGTGAAAAGAAGTGCAGGGGGTGAACTCTGTGGCTCGGTTCAGCCTGTGTGGTACCATTAACTATGCTGTCGCCCACATGACTGAACACAGGAACCAAGACTGAATGCCACCAGTGGGCTAAATACTGCAATCAGTACCTTAGGCCAGTGGTCCCCAACCCCCGGGCCGCGGACCGGTACCGGTCCGTGGATCAATTGGTACCGGGCCGCACAAGAAATCATTAATTATTTCCGTTTTATTTATTATCTGAGTCTGAACGATCTTTTATTTTGAAAAATGACCGTATTCTCTCGGTTACATCTCGGTCACTTGAGCGCCAAAACTGGCTTACTTGTGCGACATATTCAGCCTGCTCAATGAACTCAATCTGTCACTTCAGGGGAAAATGACAACTGTCTTCAAGTTGGCAGATAAAGTAGCTGCATTTAAAGCCAAACTGGATTTGTGGGGACGGCGCGTCAACAGAGGCATTTTGGACATGTTTCAAACATTAGCGGGGATTTTGGGTGAGACTGAGCCTGAGCCTTCACTCTCCCAGCTGGTTCACAACTTTATTTCAGGTGTTGAAAAATAACATTCATGGAGTGTTTAATATTAAAAAAAAATAAAAATGTTGTGTAGGTATATTTAGATAATAGAGAAAGAAATGTGGAATTACTGGTTCTTGTCATTTATTTATTTTTCCACGTGATTTTTTTTTATAATTTATTTAGGGGGCAGAGAGGATGTTACTAGAGAATTTGATGTTATACTCATGTTATGTTGTTGGCGCAATGTTACGA